TGTGGTGGTCTACATCGATGACATCCTGGTGTATTCCGCTACGCACGCCTAGCATGTGTCCTTGGTTCGCAGAGTGCTTGGGCGACTGTTGGAGCATGACCTGTATGCCAAGGCAGAAAAATGTCTGTTCTTCCAACAATCCGTCTCCTTCCTCGGATACCACATCACCACCTCAGTTGTGGAGATGGAGGGAGACCGCATTTCAGCCGTGCGTAATTGGCCGACTCCAACCACGGTTAAGGAGGTGCAGCGCTTCATTGGCTTTGCCAATTACTATCAGAGGTTTATCCAGGGCTTTGGCAAGGTCGCAGCCCCCATCACCTCTCTGTGGAAGCATGGGCCGTCCCGGCTCCGCTGGTCTGCTGAGGCTGACAGGGTTTTCAGTAACCTGAGGGCTCTGTTCACCTCAGCCCCGGTATTGGTCCATCCCAATCCATCATTGCCGTTCATAGTGGAGGTGGACGCGTCCGAGGTAGTGGTAGGCGCTGTCCTATCCCAACGCTCGGGCACGCCACCCAAGCTCCGCCCCTGTGCCTTCTTCTCTAAGAGCAGAACTATGACGTTGGTGATCGGAAGATGTTGTCAGAGCCCTGACAGCGTGGAGACACTGGCTCGCGGGGGGGTAAACACCCTTTCCTCGTCTGGACTGACCACCGTAACCTGGAGTACATCCGGTCAGAGGGTCAAAGATCATACCCCCAAGACATGCTAACCTCTCACCATTACCAACAACAGGGTATATCTTGGGGGTATGATCTTTATCAACCAAAACAAACTGCAAAAAACTCCAAAAAGATTGTAGAGTTACAAGCTTGATGTAGTCATTGTGTGCTAGGAATATGGGACCAAATGTGACTGTCAGTGTGAACCGGAGTGACTTGACACAATGCTGGCCAAACAAGATGCAGCTACAAACAAAACAGAGTTAAAAGGTTCCAGTCTGCCGTGAAGTGTTCCTAAATGTATATGGGTAAGAGTCTAGCTACATTTTCGGATATAAGTTTCTAATTTAGTGAGGAAGTCATTTTTATTGCAAGTTAAAGCGTACTTTTAGTTAGCTAGAAAACATTAGCTTGCTGGCTCGCTAGCTAATGTTATGTGTATGATCTGTGTAGTAATATTATTTGAATCAGAAACCATTTGCATTGCTAGTTATAGCCTAATGTTAGCTAGCTAACATTGAACCTAGTTTGTTAGCTTTAGCTACCTGCATATTCATATTACAGCTATGACTATGTTTGTATTGGTAGTAGTATGAGTTGGGATTATGCCAGTTCATTGTTTAGCTAGCTAGCTACCTAGCTAGCTACATGTCTAAACAAAAGACTCCACTTCGGCCGGATTATAACATGACCCATCAAGTTAGCCAGGTGTGTCTGGGGGTGATTACGGCCATCTATTGTATTTCATGAACATGTGTATATGTCTAGGTCTAGACAATAGTGACCTATCCACTTAGCTAGATGTGGCTGGGGGGAGGGTTATAGCATTTCCTTCACATGACATCATCTAATTGATAAAATATTTATAAAATATTTTCATCTGGACACTTTCTGTTTTTGATATTGCTACTATCAAGTAACCATTTCACTGTACAATTTACACCTTCTGTATCCTGTGCATGTGACAAATAAATGTAGATTTTATTTGAGCGTGTGTTTACCACATGGCCTCACGTGAATTCTTAAAGAGATGGGTGGGGTTAAGGCTTAAGAGGGTGTGAAAGATGCTGAATGTGTATAGACAAAGAAGAGCTCTCCAGTAGGTGTACCTAAACATTCAAGGGCCATTTTCTCAAAAGTGGGGTTACAAGTTTATTAACTTTCAAAGCAGAATTACTTCCCCATTGTTCCTCAACTGCAGTGTATGATATTCCAGTCTACACTTTTATCCAATGTAAAAAACACAATTTCAAATTGTGCTACATAAGACCGAATCGAGGCGGTCGGTCACAAATACTAAACATTTGACTACTTCATTTATAAGAATCTTTAGGGCTGTCAATAATTTTGACCCCTACCCTTTTCAGATTTATTAATGTATTACTTGTTAAACAAAATCTCTTCCTCTGCAATTGTATTAGTATAAAATAATATAATTTCAACAACAAAAATAGCATAAAATAGAGCTTAGTATTTTAATTATTTATTTTATACAGTCATTATTGTTAATATTTATGAAGGGTATCAATAATTTTCGGACCCCACTGCTTCTGTTTTACCATTTAGAAATTGTATTTATTTAACCAGGTTAGTCTCGTTGCGATAAAAATATTTCTTTTTCAAGAGAGAAAGAAAAGCACTTTATGTATCTAGTCCACCCATGTGATGAAGTCTTAAGAATTTCGACAAATTCACTTATAGTGTATCAAAGTAGTCAAAAGTGTAGTATTTGGTCCCATATTCCTCGTATGCAATGACTCTACAAACTCGTTGGATGCATTTGCAGTTTGTTTTGGGTTATGTTTAGCCCAATAGTAACTGAATCTCAAATATCTAAAATGCTGGAGTATAGAGCCAAATTAAGACATTTTAGCTTCACTGTCCAAACACACATGTAGGGGAGTAAATACATGTATTTATTTTAAGAACTCAGCCAGGGTGTCAACTCACTGTTGAGAGTTAGAATAGTAGAATACAAAAGGCGGTTTAATTAATTAAAAATGAAAAGCTGAAATGTCTTGAGTCAACAAGTATTCAACCCCTTTATTATGGCAAGCCTAAATAAGTTCAGGAGTAAAACAAGTCATATAATGTTTAACAAGTGATTAACAAGTCACATAATATGTTGCATGGACTCTGTGTACAATAATAGTGTTTATCATGATTTTTGAATGACTGCCTCATCTCTGCACCCCACACATACAATTATCTGTAAGGTCCCTCAGTCGAGCAGTGAATTTCAAATACAGATTCCACCACAAAGACCAGGGAGGTTTTCCAATGCCTCGCAAAGAAGAGCACCTATTGGTAGATGGGTAAAAAAAAAAGCAGACATTGAATATCCCTTTGGGCATGGTGAAGTTATTAATTACACTTTGGATGGTGTATCAATACACCCAGTCACTACCAAGATACAGGCGTCCTTCCTAACTCAGTTGCCGGAGAGGAAGCAAACCACTCAGGAATTTCACCATGAGGCCAATGGTGACTTTAAAACAGTAACATCATGTTTTGGGTATGCTTGTAATCATTAAGGACTGGGTTCAGTCTGCTTTCCACCAGACACTGGGAGATGAATTCACCTTTCAGCAGAACAATAACCTAAAACACAAGGCCAAATCTACACTGGAGTTTCTTACCAAGAAGACAGTGAATGTTCCTGAGTGGGCGAGTTAGTTTTCACTTAAATCTACTTGAAAGTCTATGGCAAACATGGTTGTCTAGCGATGATCAACAAATAATTTGACAGAGCTTGAAGAATTTTGAAAAGAATAATGGGCAAATGTTGCACAATCCAAGTGTGGAAAGCTCTTAGAGACCTACACAGAAAAACACAGCTTTAATCGCTGCCAAAGGTGCTTGAAGTATTGACTCAGGGGTGTAATACTTATGTAAAATAGATATTTCTGTATTTCATTTTCAATACATTTGCAAAAATGGGGGGTTAGGGAAAATAACATCTATTTAATCCATTTTGAATTCAGGCTGCAACACAACAAAATGTGGAATAAGTCAAGGGGTATGAATACTTTCTGAAGGCACTGTATGTCAGTCACTGACAGTCACTCAATTAGGCCATTTACATTTCTTTGTGGGGGATTGCTAGGTAAGGTAGTCTAGCAAGCTATCTAAACCTTGTAGTAATCATGGCCAAATTACCGAATGGGCACACGCCCAGGGGCCCTAACCTGATTTTGTTAAACACTCTCACTCAGATATCATATGAAAATGGCATAAGTCATGTCAAATCTGTAGAATTGCAGAAGATTTGCTTTGTGTGTGTGTATTTGTGTGTGTTTGTGCGGGAGGGCCTGCCTGTGTGCATTCGTGAGTGTGTGTGTCTGTGTGTAGGTTCGTGCCTGTCTGTGTAGCACTTGGTTGACATAGAGCTATAATCAAAATGTCCACCCCCATCCTTTATCTCTGAATCCAAAGTCAAACATTGGTATTAGTGTGGCGTACTCACACTGCAACACACATAGACACTGTAGAAGGAACAGGAACACTAATTTCAGTTTGAACTCAACAGAGGTCAAAATCTACTTTATCAGTTTTAAGGGAAGGTGAAACGCATAATTACAGCGTAGTAAACATTTACATTTTAGTCATTTAGCAGATGCTCTTATCCAGAGCGACTTACAGTTAGTGAGTGCATACATTTTCATACTTGCCCCCCGTGGGAAACGAACCCACAACCCTGGCGTTGCAAGCGCCATGCTCTACCAACTGAGCTACATGGGACAACTTCTAAAAACAACTGCTAGTAACAACCACAGTTGTTGTAAAAAAATCAATTCATTCATCCATTCACACTCTAGTCTGCTTGTACTGTATGCATGAGTCCATTGGAGCAGGCTGAGAATGAACAGTGTTTCACCAAGTGAGTCTCTCTTATATGGACATATGCCCTGGTATGACACAGAGATAGAAAGAGAGACAGAGAAACAGAGAGCGAGAGAGAGAGAAGGCAACTGTCAAATAAGCCATTAGTAGGAACACCAGCAGGCTGTCCTTTCTCTTCCTCCCTTATCTCTCTCTATCTCTCTCTCTCTTTCAAGCATCTGTTTTGTTAGCAGTCACATTGGCGTGCGTTTCATTCAATTAACCCCTGGGCCACAGGTGGTTCTCTATCACTGACCCTCCGTTCTGGGGCTGAAACAGCCAGGGGGAAAGGTCATAAAACACTCACTCTCTCACTCTCACTCTCTCTCTCGTTCTCTCAGACAGACAGACATACGGATTGACAGACAGCCAGACCACACTCCCTAGCAGGTTGACTGCTGTAGTCTACACTTGTAAATAACCTGACTAAATGCCTGTAATGCTAAGGGAATCCAGTTAGTGTGTGCATCTGTGCTGCATGTGTGTGTTTAGATAGCCCTTACCTCTGCGGATGCTGCGTCTCAGTTTTCCACAGAAGGCGTCAACACGAGGCAGCTCCTGCCCTTCTGTAGTGGGGGAGGGACTCTGTTCGGGGTAGGACAAGGGGAGAAAGGGGGGGAGGGGGGCCTGATCTTGGGGGGTCTTGTTGCCGCCTGGAGGGGGCGAGGAGGAGGTGGGAGGGGGAGAAGTGGTAGTGGGGGTTTGGGGGGTAGAGTTTTGGGGGGTGGAGGGGTGAGAGGTAGGGGTGTGGAATGTCAGGGTTTGGGTTGAGGTTGGACTACTGACAGCGGACTGAGAGAAGGAGGAGGGGATAGAGTTGATGTTAGTAAGGTCCAGCCCCCCCACCCTAGCACTGATGGGGGAATGCAGAGAGAGTTTGCGTGTGCGGACAGGAGAGGAGGTGCGGGAGGAGATGGAGAGAGGAGGAGGACCGGAGAACTTGCGGCAGAGACGGGGGGACTTGTCATTGGTGTGATCACCACTTCGGTTGTTCTGATTGGTGGCAAAGAACAATTCCAAAGACCTGAGAGAGAGAGAGAGAGAGAGAGAGAGAGAGAGAGAGAGAGAGAGAGAGAGAGATAGAGAGGAGAGATAGAGAGAGAGAGATGAGAGAGAGAGAGGAGAGAGAGAGAGAGAGAGAGAGAGAGAGAGAGAGAGAGAGAGTTGACATTTGCATTGAGTCATTGTGAGGAAAGCATACATCAATACATTGACTGTTTTGAGACAGGAGATGCTATTATCATCATGCCAGGGTGAACAGAACCATCAGAACTACAGATAGATCTATAACTCAGCCTGGGTGGAAAATGGGAAAATAGGTTACATGAAAGACCATGCAAAGAGGTTGAAGAAATGAGTGAGAGTAGTGCTGAGCGATTAGAGCTTTTTGAAGTCGGTTTCGGTTCGATTATTAAAAATAATCAAGATTGTCGATTTTTGAAACATGAAATGCACTATGCATTTTGTGGGTTGAATGCTGTAACAACACAGAATAAAAAATACAAAAAAAGTCCCATAATGACAGTGACTGCTCATGACTGCTTATCACTTATTAACCATCCGTTATTCACATTACTTTACTTTAATAAAATATTTCAGTTGTGTATATTACATTTGTTTTATTTGATGTCTTTTATTTCATTCCAAGTCATCTCATCTCTATAGAGCTGCTACCTATGCTGTCTGACAAAATCATTATTTTAGTAGTTCTTTAAAGTAAATAAGGCATACTTACTTTTAAGACTGCTGAATACCAATACCTCAAGAAGCAACTGCTCTCTATGTATCCCCTCTTGATCGCATATTCTTCTGTCTCTTATGTAGCAGGCGCAAAAGAAACACAGACCGGACAAGCAGGCGCACAATGGATTATTGTTATTGTAGTTAATTATCACGTTTTCTTCACTAAACTATGTAGAACATTGGCCTGTTGGAAACTACAACTCCCTGCTACATCGCACAGTTCGGGCATGATCTGATTTACCTCTAGAGAAACTGCAGCGAAATGTACACATTGAGCTCACAGAAAAAAATGAACAAAGTGGAATCAAAATAATTGAACCAACGTCAGTCAATAAGTTGTTTAAAAACCAAAAGACAACCAACATTTCTGTTAATCGCTCAGCACTAAGTGACAGAGAGAACGAGAGAGAGAGAGAGGGTTAGCAAGACAAGAGGAGGGAGTGAGAAAGAGCCCAGTGGTCTTTTACAGACGGAAGATGCTAGAGGGAGGGAGAAAGAGAACTAAGGACAGAGATGTTGAGCGAAGGACACGGACAGGGTCTTCTCTAAAAGGTGCAGTGAAAAGATGCTAAAGTGAGGAAAGATGAGAAAGAGCGAGAGAGAGGGGAGAAGAGGAGAGAACACAAGTGAGAGGCAAAGAGAGAGGTACTTGGACGGGTCCAGGGACAAAAAGAGAAAGAGCAAGGGTTAAAGCAGAGGGGGGGAGAGAGAGGCAGGTTGTGTTACTTGGACTGATCCAGGGCTATCTTCCTGATCTTCAGGCTGTAGTCAGGACAGATGGACGTGATGGACAGGCGGTCAAATGAGTGGTACTGTACCCTGTGGAGGGGGGATGGAGAGGAAAGGGGTATAACGGATGGAGGGGTGAGAGAAGGGGATGGGCGAGGGGTGATGGGGTGAGGATGAGAGGAGGGGATGGAGGGGTGAGAAGAGGGTATGGGTGAGGGGTGATCGGGTGAGGATAGGAGGGGATGAAGGGGTGAGAAGAGGGGATGGGTGAGGGGGGATGAAGGTAATGGGGTGTGGATGGGAAAGGTGGAGGATAGAGGAGTGAAGGTGTGGACAACATCTACATTTATTTATATATAATTGACAATGATCACAGGACCAAATCCTTTTCATGTTGAAAACTGTACGTGTGAATGCTGTCATTATTCTCTAGGGTGAAGTTTCCCCCTAGGTCAGTTTAGGCTGCTGAGGGGAGGAAGGCTCATAATAATGGCTGTAACGGCGCAAATGGAATGGAATCAAACATATGGAAACCATGTGTTTGATGTATTTGATATCCATTCCACTGATTCCGCTCCAGCCATTACCACGAGATCCGTCCTCCCCAATTAAGGTGCCAACAACCTCCTGTGCCCTAGGTACAGATCTAGGATCAGCTTCCCCTCCCCCAATTCTAACCTTAACCATTATTGGGGAAAATACAAAACTGACAAAAGATCAGTGTCTAGGAGCAACTTCACACTACAACCTGTTATATACTGTAGGTGTGTGTGTTTGTGGGTTTCTGCTGTTCTTTCTGGTCTATGTTCTCTGGTAATGAGGTCATACAGGAGTTAGCCTGGAGTTAGCCCACACACACCTGCTCTGGACACATGAAAAGGATAGGAAAAGATGCACAGCTTTTCCAGTTGAAAGGGTCATTAGGTCAGGGCAGGAAAATGCATACACACACACAAAACACCGTCTGACATATAAGTCTTTGCCAAATGATTTTTTTTTCAAGCATCTGTTTTGCTAGCAGTCACAAAACACCAATAAAACTGGCTAGAGAGAATAACAGGAGGAATAATGAGGTGAGAGTTTAGAGAAAACTCAACCCTCTGTAACATGAAAATGTGTGTATGTGTGTTCGCGTCTGTGCACGCTTGTCCGTGAATGTGTGCATGTTTTCTCTCTCTTGTGTATTACCTGACAGGTATAGAGGTGAAAGGTTTCTTGTAGATGTCAGCCAGTTTATCCATGACCACGGCAGCGGTAGTGAAGATGCGGTAGGTGTGGAGGAAGGTGTTGAGGAAGTCGATGGAGAGGAAGCGCAAGTCCGTCAGCCTTTCCAGCAGCCGCTCCACGCTGGCGTAGCGAATCTGGGGGACCTTGCAGGAGTTGAGCGTCTTGCTGAAGCAAATGTCAACATCATCTTTATGGAGGCGCATATCAGATCTGATGGACACACACACACACACACACACAAGCAAGCACTGGTGATCTAATCAGTGGGTTGCTAGGATTACTCACACAGAAGTTTTAAGCATGGATAAACACTTAAAGATGCTGTAAGTCATGTCAGAAGCTAGCAGATTAATTACTTACCGACAACAGCTGCAAATTCCAATACAACTACATCACATTTTGAAATTCACTTTCCTTGCTTTGTCTAACAACACTATAAATCAATCAATCAAAGGAATTTTGTGGGTCAGAATGCAGTATTTATTTTGTTTCATAGCACAAACGTTTGCTAGCATGTTTTTCACACTGGCTTTAGCCACAGAGGGGGCAGGCCGGCCCTGGCAAGTGCAGGGGGGTTGCCTAGCCACACACCCCTCGGATGGAGTCAACATCTGCATTGCGCGACAAATTCCCATGATTTGTGAATCTGTTCAGACCCAACAGCTAGCGCGACAGCTAAAATGGCTTTGAAAAAATAAGATTTCAGCTAATAGGGAGAAGCATCTAATAAAATAACCACATTATGGAATTCACTAATCATAAACTATTTACATATAATATAACTTTCGGTACATTTGTGGACAAAATTCTTACTTAGCCTTTAAATGTCCAAAGAAAATAGCCAAGAAATCTGCATAAAAAAATAAATAAACAACACCACCAACTAAGGAGGTTCAGTCAAAAAAGCAGTGGCTTTTACAATAGCTGTGTTAAATACGGCAGTGTTCCTCACTCCTGGGCCTGGAGGAGGTGCAGGCTTTTGTTTCAGCCCAGCACTAACAAACCTGATCAACTATTCATTAATAGTGTGAGTGGTATATTCAGGTATGTTAGTTCTGGGCTGGAACTAAGCCATACACACTGGAGAAAAAGCATGTATGACAGACACACACATGTGTTAAAGTGTATGTGGGGGCGCTTACTTGATCATGTGAGGCACGGTGACTTTGGAGTTCTCCTCGAATACGCTAGTCATCAAACCATTACAGCGGATATTATCGATACACTAGAGAGAGAGGGAAAGGGAGAGTGAGGAGGGGGAGAGTGAGGAGGGGGAGAGTGTCAGTGCAGGTAAGTGCAGCGAAAGATCAATCTAAGCCTCATAATCTGATATAAAAGCAACATTCTAACTAACATGTATCAAAACCCTAAAGAAAAATCTATATTATTATTAAAGCTTTTCCTTTTACCTAATCTTTTTTTAGAATCAAGCAAAGCCTCAGATGAGGTGCAGTGTGTGTGTGTGTATGTAGGGGGGCACACTGGGTTAAAGGGGAGGAGCCAAGCACAACCCAGAGTTTGACCCCTGGGGAACCAACCACCCTGTTTACTCACTGCTAAGCCTCATGGGAAACCCAGAGGGAAACACTGTGCTGTTTGTGGACTTTTTGTTATTCGGTTTTTATTCCAAGAAAAAAAGAAAGAGAGAGAGAGAGTTAGTTACCTGGCTGATGTCGCTGGTCCAGGCAGCTTTCTCCTGTCGTGAGGGAGCCAACAAGACTACAGTGAAGGAGGGAGAGTCAGATGGCTCGATGATCAGCTTAAAGTCCAACTGACCGAATACCTGACCACCACTGGACTTCGCTAGAGAGAGGGAAGGGGAGAGGGAGAAAGAAAATTAGAAGGATGGGTCACCTATGGTGACAATGTATTTTGGTGTGACACGAGATAAAGATGATACATGAATAAGGTAAAAGCTGGTCCACTTCATTTACCCCTGTAGTGTGTGTGTGTGTGTGTGGGTGTTTGTGTCACTCAAAGGTCCTTCCCTGGAAGTCTGTGAGCTATAAGAGCCCTCTGTGAGGTTAATGGGTGAATGATGTCATAGGATCAGCATGAGTGGCATTTAAAGGGAAGGCTGTTAGCTGTTTTTTGAAAGGATGTGAGGGTCGGCCAGAGCTTTATTTGTGGACACTTATCTTTTGACACTAATTAACCTGTATGGAGACTTAATGAGCCTGTCTGAGTCACTGCATAAATCTAAAGGACTAGGGTGGGTTAACACACACACTTTACTCACAGTCGTCGTCGCTGGTCTCTGTTTCTTCTATGAGGGTACATTCTATCAGAGACAGGACTCCACCTTGCTGCAGAGAGAGGTCCGAGGTCATTGACTGTTTGTGTGGTTTGTTGTGTGCTTAAAATATGACTCGGTCTCGATTCTCCACTAGGTTCTCTTACACATATTCTCTCATGGATTTAACAATGGTGGAAACTCACTCCACCAATATGATTTTAAATCCAATCCAATACAGTGCACACTTCTGGAAAAGGGTGTGGAATTAAAGCCAGTAAATATGAGCATGTGTGTGTGTGGCTCACCTTGAGCAGGTGCAGCTTGCCTCCTGAGCTGCGTGTGCAGATAAGAAAGTGTTTTGTAAACAGGAAGCACTGTCTCTCTCCTTCCTTCTTCAGAGACAGAGAGCCCAGACGCACCTTACTGAGCTTCCCCCTCTCCACCGACGGCAGCTGAATCAGAGAACCTGGCGGGGGAGGGCAACGGGGGAGAGAGGGAGGAGGGAGAGGGAGTAAGAGAAGGTGTTGAGAGAGAGGAAGAGTGGGGAGAGGTGTGGAGAGAGATGGGAGGTGAGTGAGAGAAAAATAGAAATAAAAAAGCCTTGTCCAAGCCAGAACTGCCCATCTCCTGTTTCTGTAGCGTGAGACAGCTTGATGTACAAAAACACACCCTGGACAGGACGCTAGTTTATCGCAGGGCCTTACCCACAATCAATCTCCTTAATGCTGAATGCCAAGCAGAAAGGTATCAAGTCCCATTTTTAGAGTCTTTGGTATGACTCGACCAGGGATTGAACCCCAACCTTCCAATCACCGGGAGGACAGTCTAACCACAAGGCCACTGAGTTGGACATGAAAAATACTGTTACATAAACAATGGTTTGTGGCATGAGTGTGTAAGTGAATTCTTATGTGTGTGTGCATATACGTGTGTATGTGCACACTAACCCTGTCTGACGAAGGTCTGACTGGTGTCCAGTAGTATATCACAGCCCTCTACAATCATCCTCTCGATGGCCAGGTTCTTACGGATGTTCTCTGTATCACTCACCTCATCATGCATCACCCTAAGGACACACACACACACACACACAAACATGATATACTACATGAAATGTCTAAGAGGTGATAATTCATACGTGTATGTTTTGAGGTATTCTTACTCATACACCCACAAATAAACACACACACACACACACACAAACACACAAACACACAAACCGTGATAGCTCCTCTAGTTTGGACTTGGCGAACTCCAAACTCTTGCGCTCCACATGTTCGTGCGGAGTGTGCGCCAGCAACTCATGCAGGGTGATGATGTAACGAGGAATCTGAGAGAAACATATAGAGGAAGAAAAGAAGAGAGAGGGTGATTGGGAGAGGGGTGAGGTATTTCATTGGGACTTTCTTATGGCTTGAACGTTTATGAGCAAGGCCTCAGATAGGGTTCTACAGGTAGAGATTTGCTAGGTGAGTGTGTACTGTGCCTAGAACACGTGGTATGTGAGGAAGTATGTGTGTGTTTGAGTGCGTGCGTGAGTGTGTGCGTGCAGGCAGGCATGTGTGAATGCATGTGCGTTACCTGGAACATGTGGTATGTGGGGATGTATGAGTTAGTGTGAGTGCATGTGTGAGTGTGTGCATGCGCGCTTGCGTGGGTGTGTGCGTTGTTTGTGTGCGTTGCATGCGTGCTGGCATGAGCGTGCATGTGTGTGTGCGTGCATGTGTGCGTTCCTGTGTGTGTGTGTGTGTGTTACCTGAAACATGGGGTATGTGAGGAAGGTCTCCAGCATCCTGCCCTCACAGGCAGCATTAGCCTCATACTGCTTCAGCAGTTTATCAAAGTCTCGGTTCTGTTTACAGTTGGTCAGCACCTGCAGGCTGTACTGGTGGTTCCTCACAAACTCCTGGTAGATGTTCAGCATGGGCAGCAGGATGTCAAACAGGTCCGCTAGACACACACACACACACACACACACACACACTAATTTATAAACATATTCTACAGCACATGACAGGCTGGTTTCCCCAGACACAGATTAAGCCTAGTCCTGAACTTAAAAGCTCTTTCAATGGAGAATCTCCATTGAATAGAAATACAAGACATAGATAGAGCTCACATATGTAAAAAATAGGGGCCAGGTAGAGATAAAACAATAAATTAAGAACTAAGATTAGATGAGATTAGATTAGCATTAGAGCCTGTTCAGCTTGACCTGTCCCTGGCCATGTCACTAATGTCTCGACGCCTTTCCTTTTTACACAGCCCATCCCTTACAGGCTGGTCTCCTAGGTGATGCTTATCAGTAGGAATGTTGAGGTTTTATGGGGTGTCAAGCCATTGTCTGTGTATGACGTGTGTGTGTGAGAGAGATAGAAAGTAATGAGGCGTTGTTTCAATAAGATGAGTGTGTGTGTGTGTGTGTGTGTGTGTGTGTTTGTGTGCCTGAGATAGGCAGCAGTAAGACATCAATTTGTTTATAAAACAAGTGTGCGTCAGCGCTGAGGAACTGACCTTGACGTCAGTGCAAGACTGAAGTGTTTGTCTTGCATTGTCTGTGAGTGTGTGTGTGTGTGTGTGTGTGTGTGTGTGTGTGTGTGTTTTGACCAATATCCTCCTCATAACAAAGCTCTTAGGTTCTAGAACTGCAAGACCATTGTGTCCAATGGAGGTCAAAAATGGTTTTGTGTAGATTGACTTCAAATGTAATATGCCGGGTCCCCCGGTCACAAATATGTACAATTTGTATATGTGTATGTAGGAATGTATATATATATATATATATATATATATATATATATATATATATATATATATATATATATATATACACACATGGGGGATTGGAAGTGATGCAGACAATTACATTGATGGAAGTTACAATCTATCTGCAAAGATTCAACTGTTTTAATCCTTCGAAACCGCCCCTTTGACCCCCAATTAAGTCACTTCCTGAAATTCGACAGACACAGACAGGCAGACAGACAGACACAGGCAGGCAGTTAGGCAGGCACGCAGACAGACAAACAGACAGACAGACAGACAGGCAGGCAGGGAGGCAGTTAGACAGACAGACAGACAGTTTCAAGTCAATACATTAAAAAAAATATATATATATCCTCTTCAGAATTCATTCAAGAATTCATAACAAGGCTCTCTTAGTTTCTAGAACTGCAAGAGGTCAAAAATGCTTTTGGGTCGATTGACTTCAAATGTAACATGCCGTGTTCCCCAGTCACAAATATATAACATTTGGGAAGAGTAAACATTTTTAACCCTTTGAAACCACACCTATGACCCCCAATTAATCGCAGGAAGCTGAAATTCAATGGACGGCATCATGGGGACACTTTAACAATGCCCTGAGTTTCAAATCTTTACGGTAAGAATTAACCGTTCTATAGAGGATGGAAGACAGTGTTTTTTGTGTAACTGCAGGGAGAGTATGAAGGACCATGTTGAGGATGAATTAACACACTTCCTGTTGCCAAAGGAAACTGAACCTCAACACAGGGCATCCCTATAAAGTCACGATTGGTTGTGGGCAAGGACGGTTAGCTAGCTCAATCGCAGTCAACGGGGGCGTCATGGTTATGTGAGGGCTGTAGGTAATGCTTTTCTATGGAAAAAAAGCCTTGTTCTCTGTGGGACCAAGTTTTCACTCTGAATAGTTAATTTCACATGGTCAGATGTAGGCTTGCATTGATCGGGAGAGTCTGTTGAACGATCCCATGCGTGAATCTTGCCAATGTCACTCAAAAGCACACTAACTCTAGGTCAGCCTACCTTTCTGCCATGTAGTAGGGGGAGGGGCAAAATTAATGTGTCTAGAGTTGAGGCCCCAACTTCATGTCCACATCCCGGCTCAAGCCTAAACCTAGCCTCAACCCTAACCCTAACCCTAGCGTCATATCAACTTCCGGCCCTACCCTAACTCTAAACCTGACCCTAACCCTCGCTTCATCACCACATCTTGGCTCAACCCTTCCGCCAATGTCACTCAAAAGCACATTAACTAGGTTAGGCTTCAAATGAGGCCCACCTTTCTGCGATGTAGTGGGGGGAGGGGTAAATGAATTAACTATCAATTGGATTAAGGTTAGGGTTATGTCCTAGGGTTGAGGCCATAACCAGACAGCAGATAGCCTAGAGGTTAAGAGCATTGGGCGAGAAACAGAAAGATCACTGGTTTGAATCCTCGAGCCGACTAGGTGAAAAAACTGTCGATGTGCCCTGAGCAAGGCACTTAACCCTAATGTCTGCTGTAAATCGCTCTGGATAAGAGCGTCTGCTAAATGATGTAACACTAACCCTATGTCCACTCCCAGCTCAACCGTAACCCTAACCCTAACTTCTTGTCTACATCCCGGCTCAACCCTAACTCAAAGAGCTGAGCCAAGATGTGGAAGGGTTAGGGTTAGGCTGGCATGTGGACATGAAGCTAGGGTTGAGTTTAGAGTTTGTCTGTATGTCTGCCTCCCTGTCTGTCTCTGAGTTTACATGTCTGCCTGTCTGTGGATATGTATGTATGTATGTATGTATGTCTGTCTGTCTGTCTGTCTGTCTGTCTGTCTGTCTGTCTGTTTGTAGGTGTGGGGGCTGTCCTGTCCCAACGTCAAGGTAATCCACAGAAATTGTATCCATGTGTACTTCGTCAACACCAGCTGGCTCATTTGGGGACGGCTATAGATGAGGTCCTCCGTGTTCTTCAACGAGTCGACATTACTCAAGGGGCGTCATCTCCAAACAGCGGAGGATTCTCTACCACAAGTCGACCCAGCGAGCCAGTACCCCAGCCTACTCCAGTGCTCCCTCTATTACCTAGAGGTCCATGGTTGCCACGGTTATTTCTCTGCTGACTGGAAGGGCGCTGGAGTGGGCCACGGCCATCTGGGAGAGAGGAGAGGAAGAGCTGGGTTCCTTTGAGGCTCTGTTCAGGGGGGTCTTCGACCAGAGTGCCTACTCCAACTACGGCAGGATGGCCAGACCACAGCTGAGTACGCGCTCACCTTTCGGACAGTGGCAGCATCCAGCAGATGGAATGAGCCTGCGCTCCGCACCCTATTCAGAAGAGGATTGTGTGAAGAGATCCAGATGGAGTTGGCGTGCCAAGAGTGTGCAAAGCTGTCATCAAGGCAAAGTGTGGCTATTTGAAGAATCTCAAATATAAAATATATTTGGATTCATTTTACACTTTTTTTGTTACTACATGATTCCATATGTGTTATTTAATAGTTTTGATGTCTTCACTATTATTCTACAATGTAGAAAATAGTACAAATAAAGACAAACCCTTGAATGAGTAGGTGTTTTAAAACTTTTGACCGGTAGTGTATATCGAAGACATCCTGGTCTACTCGGCTACCTTGGAGGAGCACATCGCTCACGAGTAGTCCTGGAATGCCTCCTGGCCAACCACCTGTACGTCAAGGCGGAGAAGTGCCAATTCCATCAGGAGGTCTCCTTTTTGGTTTACCAGATCGGCCCGCCACGAGTCATGATGGATGAGAGGAAGGTGGATGCTGTCAGGTTATGGCCAGTCCCAACCACCATAAAGGGGTTACAACGGTTTTGGGGATTTGCCAACTTCTACCGCCGATTCATTAAGAACTTTAGCTCGATCGCCTCTCCTCTCACTTCTCTCCTCAAGGGTGGTCCCCGGAAGTTAGGATGGAATTCTGCAGCTGACGAAGCCTTCCGCCTACTGAAGGCTCGTTTCACCTCTGCCCCATTGCTTAAACATCCAGATCCTATGCTGCCCTTCGTAGTGGAGGTGGACACTTCAGAAGTAGGTGTGGGGGCTGTCCTGTTCCAACGTCAAGGTAATCCACCGAAATTGTATACATGTGCATATTACTCAAAAAACGCTGTCTCCTGCAGAGAGGAACTATGATGTTGGCGATCGGGAGCTCCTGGCGGTGAAGTTGGTATTAGAGGAGTGGAGACACTGGCTGGAGCGCGCCCAGGACCCATTGCTCATCCTCACTGACCATTGGAACCTGAAGTACCAAATGAACAGCGAGGCGACTGAACCCACGCCAAGCCAGGTGGGCCCTTTTCTTCACCAGATTCAATTTCACGCTGACATATCACCCATGGTTAAAAAAACATCAAAGCCGATGCCCTGTCCCGTCTCTACGATCGGGAGAGGTTCCTGTCTTGAGTGCACCCATAATCCCACCCTCTCCAGTCATAGCCCCCATGCTCTCGGACGTAGATGTGGACATTCGCCAGGCCCTGGAGAGGGAAACCACACCTGTCACTTCCACTCCCACCCCCGCTCCCCCACTCCAGCGCTCGACGTCACCGGTCTACTAACCATCGGTCCTGGAAACCCATCTTCACGCACACCTGGCAACCATAATTATGCACACCTGCGTCTCATCATCAGTCACACCTGGACTTCATTACACCCCTTTTTACCCTTTATATAGCACTCTTTTGTTATCAGTCATCAGGTAATATTGTTTATGTTCTATGTCAGACGCTTCTCTTGTTTTGTATCGCTCCATGTTCGTTATTATTAAACTCACTAACTGCACCTGCTTCCTGACTCCCTGCGTCTACGTTGCACTGAGAAGTCATTAGGAATCTGAGCATGGCACTTTCAAAAGATATACCTACTTTTCCACCCCAAACAGAGTAGGCCTAACGACGCAGAAAAATGTAAGCTTTAACTGTTGGCTACTCTTCTTCTGTAGCTTAACCCAACGAGAGAAGCTCACAAGTGTTTCCCTAAAAGCCTTCTGTTTTTAAACATCTTCTATTGAACAGAAAGTTAATAGCTTAATCAATTCATAGTGACAGAATTAGATTACTTCCCAAGCAAAGCACATGTTTTGTCTCCTCGGCTATAAAGGTTGTAGCTCAGCCTCTGAATGTCAAAGAAACGAAACAATGATATCCCATATGCATCAGAGTCTTTCCTGGGTATTCTACAGCTTGTTTCTAGCATAAAGCTATTTTAATATTCTTCCAAATCTTAAGCTAACAAGGGGTAGGCTGGTGCTTTTTGCCATTTTCTTTAATAAAAGGTAGGCCTATGGCATACCCTCTCATACCCCCTCAATTTGAGTCTTGGTTTTAAGTTAACAGTCCTTCAGTAACACAGAGGTAGGCTATTCAAAGACTGCATGGTGGGTGGAGGAAATCTATGGATATAGCAGCCTATAGCCTAATTTCGTCTGCCAAACAGGTAGGCCTACCTCTTATTGCTTAAATAGCAATAAGCCCTCTTGTTGTTAGGTAAAGTCTAAACAAAATGTTGACGGTTGAAATGAATTATGCCTACTCAAATTTGCCCACTTTCAGCACCATGAGCTGTCCATTTCCGATTGATTGTGCCGCGGCTGCTACTTCAAGTTTCAGCACCACAATGTAAATTACTAAAATCTGTTTTATTGTGAGGTCAATAACTCTGTTAAATACATCATGGGCAAGAAACATATTGTTTTTAATTAAATCAGTTATAGTAGTAGCAAGCTATTAAAGTTGACCTGCGGTCCGGTCCTCCTTCTCATCTTCGCACTCTCCTCAAACTGAACAGAACATAGGCTATTGCCCGCACGCAAGGTCTAATCAAAAACATTTTTCAGAAGAAGTCTTTGACTCTCCTCCTGAACTGCCACTGTAAGCCTACACAGCACAGCCATTGGTTAGGCAGCACACAAAAACGTTTTTGATCAGCAAGAGCAGAGCAGGCCGGGGCTCAGGGTTGGAACATCCATTGCAGTGTATAATGCAGCCTAATGTTATTTACACCATCCCAGCTGCTATCTTAGATATATAACTTTGCTCTGTGCTTCTCCGAGCATGCACTTCATAGCCTATAGCATATGGATAATTTGATTGAGACCACACTAAATAGTCTATAGGAGCACTTGATATTGCGCGTCCAGCGGAGAATCAGAGATGAGGGGTGGCATCAGGCACACATCGATATATATCCTAAAAAGCAACTAATTCTAAAACACTGAGAAATACTGAAATTTCATTCATTACAAATTACATGACCCTTCCCTGGACAATATTTTTTAAATGCTAAACACTCCCCTTGATTGAAATTGAAAAAAGCATGACCCACCCCCATTTTCCTCCAGGTAACCCTTCTGTAAATTTCGATCCATCCCTAAACCTAACCTAACCTATGACCTGACACATCACCTTATGCATTACTGCCCACAGTGGCAAGAAGTGACATCTCCAAAAACACAAAAACTATACAACACATAAAAGGCTCCTAGCCTCCCACACATACTACTTTCTGTCCCTAACACTAAAACTGAAACGAAATAATATAAAAACGAAATAGAAACGTTTTTATAAAACTTAAACTAAATAAAAACGAGTAAAGTGGATTTGAAAAGTAACTGCAACTAAACTGATTTTAAATAAAAATCTTAAAACTAATAGAAATAAAAACTAATATAAAAACACAAAACTATTATAACCTTGGTGTGTGTGTGGTTTGGATGGTGTATGCGACTGTTGTGTGGGTCTGATGGTGTTACGTTTCTGCTGTGTGTGTGTGCGAGTGCATGGGTGCATCTATGCGTGTGTGCATGCGTTTTGGCGTGTGTGTAATGACAACTTACCCAACACCAGTGTAGGCCAGTTCGCTATCCGGGCTTTGAGTCCTTGGTGGAAAATCTCATGTAGAAACATGATGGTCTCACTGGATATAAAATAAATAAAAAACAGAATATCAAACAGGTTTCTGTATGTGTGTGTGTGTGTGTGTGTGTGTGTGTGCATGCATGTGATGTACCTGTTGAGGAACACACTGCTGACATCATCGTGACTGATGGGAGGTTTCTTGGAGCTGGCAGCCATACGGAGAGGTCTCAGGAAACAGTTAACCAGGATAGACAGCTGGTGGACATACCTAGGATTAGATCAACAAGGATCAAACTAACACTAGGACCCAACCAACAAGGATCAGACACTACACGCTTAGAATAAAAAGGTGCTATCTAGACCTGTACCCATAGGAGAAGCCATTTGAAGAACCCCTTTTGCTTCCAGGTAGAACCCTTTTGGGTTCCGTGTAGAACCCTTTACACAGAGGAGATCTACCTGGAACCAAAAAGGATTCTACCTGGAACCTAAAATGGTTCTCCTATGGGGACAGCCGCAGAACACTTTTGGAACCTTTCTTTCTAAGAGTGTAGGATGCAGAATTTGTTCCAGCCCAGCAATAACACACCGGAATACACGACTTGTGGTCTAATCACACTATTAGTGTAGTCAGGTGTGTTGGTGCTGGGTTCGAATAAATAACAACAGTAAACCATTCAATTCAATCATTCATTCAATCAATCAATCAATAAATCAGCCGCTCAATCAATAAACCAATCAACCAATCAACAATCAATCAATCAGTCAATAGTCTCTGTGTGAGTGGTTTTAGGTGCGTACTCTGTCTCAGCCTCCACCATGTTAAAGACGATCTGGTTCCTCTTCCTCATGCTCTCAGCATGGGGAGAACAGATGTAGTCCTGAACTATCAGCTTCCACTTCCTACGGCACAGCCAACCACGCATAAAGCTTTGCACCTGTACAGGGAGACACAGGTTAGAATACATTTCTTTTTTTTTGGTAAGATTTTATAAAATGTTTCTAACAATATAAACAAAGACGGCAGACAAACATCAACGACATCACACCTGCCCAGACCTACGTGTTCCCACGGCATCTATCTCCAGTGCTTGTAAGAATCTATGCCATATAGCCTCAAATTGCGGTATTCTGTTTTTCTCTGTTGCCCACAGCTTTTCAATATTTTAATAATAATGCATTTGATTCCCCCACTGTCTCAACAATGGAAGATCATTTGATTTCCAGTTTTTAAGTAAAAGTTTTTTTTAAATGATTGACGAGAAAAGTATGGTCCAACCAATTTGGTGTCTCACCGCACCCTCATATGCCATGTCTTCAAATATGCAGATAGATGGATTAAAAGTACATTTACATTGTAATAATTCTGACAGCCAATTTTCTAACTCCGCTCATAACGTTTGGACTTTATAGCACACCCAGAATGCATGAATTATTGAATAATCGTTAATTTTACACTTAAGACATGACTCTGCCATTGTGCTGTAGAATTTGTGAATTTTGTCTCTTGTATAATAAATTACATTTTTGTTTATACTGGATTAAGCATACATTTTTGTTAACTGTAATTTAATTAGTTATGTTGCAACACACCCTTCATCTTGTGCCAATATCAGTTCTTTTTAAGTCTTGGTTCCAATAGATAATATTTTTTTATAAGAGATTGTCAGTTGGATAGGCTCTCGGCAAGATTTTGTATATATTACCTATCATATGAATATCCTGATTTTAAACTTTTAAGTTGCATGTATTTGAAAATGTCTACATTGGTCAGTCATAAATGGCTTTTTAATTCTGTCATGGAAATAATTGTATTTCCTATTACCAAGTCTGGTACTGTTTCTATGCCTTTAGTTTTCCATATGGGCCTATTTATCGGTGAATTCTGAAAAGCTATCCAATAATTAAGGGGTTGTTTTTAGGGAGTGATATTGGTTCTTGTAGAATACGTTTCATTTTCTTCCATATTGTTATACTGTTATTAACTATGAAGTTGTTAATGTTCTTCGCTTTATCCTTTGGAAATAGACACGTGAAAATATTTTGGGAATGTGTATGCGCATCTTCAATATGTACCCATCGTTCCTCTTTAGTGCATTTAACAATATGTCGCAAGTAAAAGCCTTTGGTGGTGAGTTTATACAATTCCAGGTCTGAGTTTTATTTCCCATATAAAGTCTGTTATGACCTTGTATACTTTTTAAAAGAATGTCTTCGGTGGGGTAATTGGTATTACCAAAAATAAATATAGAAACTTTGGGAGATTAAAAAAATAATAATAATAGCGTTGTTATTCCTTTTGTGAGGGCTGCAAGGTGTTTACCAAGTTTACTTGGTAAAATAGTATGCTTTATTTGAGTTTAACCTGTAGTTGTTGGCTGTCTTTAAAAGTAAAAGATAATATTTCTGCTTAAGTTCAGAAATTGTATTTTTCTTCTTTACCATATAAAGATGTTTTATGGTATTTTCTAAGATAGTAATTCAGATATATTTTTCCTTCATTTTCATTTCTAACTCAGATTTAACTTTTGCAGAGTACGAGATTATCATTCCCCTTAAAGCACCTAAATTATGTCGGGGTTCAGCTTTTCTCTGTCCTATGTCATGCTTAATTACACCAACAGAAAATACAGTTAGCGACAGAATATGGAGAATGAACAGAGCACATCTTCAAGACCCGAAATGTATTAAATACTTAAACTAAAAAATAAAGACCTTTACTATTACAAATGTCTACATGGTCTGGCTCCTGTTTTCTTTACGACTTGCAGTAACTCTCCGTGGTTCTAAATCAATAGTTGTTTAGTAGTCCGAAAATGTCGGAAACATGAAGGTCATGTACAGTGAGGGAAAAAGTATTTGATCCCCTGCTGATTTTGTACATTGACCACTGACAAAGAAATGATCAGTCTATAATTTTAATGGTAGGTTTATTTGAACAGTGAGAGACAGAATAACAACAACAAAATCTAGAAAAACACATGTCAAAAATGTTATAAATTGATTTGCATTTTAATGAGGAAAATAAGTATTTGACCCCCTCTCAATCAGAATAATTTCTGGCTCCCAGGTGTCTTTTATACAGGTAACAAGCTGAGATTAGGAGCACACTCTTAAAGGGATCTTTGAGGATCTTTGGGCATTGAAAATGGGTCGTGGATGGGTATTCCAGCATGACAATGACCCAAAACACACGGCCAAGGCAACAAAGGAGTGGCTCAAGAAGAAGCACATTAAGGTCCTGGAGTGGCCTAGCCAGTCTCCAGACCTTAATCCCATAGAAAATCTGTGGAGGGAGCTGAAGGTTCGAGTTGCCAAAGTCAGCCTCGAAACCTTAATGACTTGGAGAAGATCTGCAAAGAGGAGTGGAACAAAATCCCTCCTGAATGTGTGCTAACCTGGTGGCCAACTACAAGAAACGTCTGACCTCTGTGAATGACAACAAGGGTTTTGCCACCAAGTACGAAGTCATGTTTTGCAGAGGGGTCAAATACTTATTTCCCTCATTAAAATGCAAATCAATTTATAACATTTTTGACATGCGTTTTTCTGGATTCTTTTGTTGTTATTCTGTCTCTCACTGTTCAAATAAACCTACCATTAAAATTATAGTTTGTCAATGGGCAAACGTACAAAATCAGCAGGGGATCAAATACTTTATTTCCCCTCACTGTAACTGTTTGTTACATGCAATATGCTTTGTGAACTTCACCGGACAGAGGTTGTTATCCGGTTTTGTGATGAAATGAAGGTGTGGTTGGATGTGTCTCTTATTGTCTCGGCCTTAGGCATACAGTGGTGTGAAGAAGTGTTTGCCCCTTCCTGATTTCTTATTTGTCACACTTAAATTTTTCAGATCATCAAACTAATTTAAATATTAGTCAAAGATAACACAAGTAAACACAAAATGCAGTTTTGAAATGAAGGTTGTTATTAAGGGAAAACAAAATCCAAACCCACATGGCCCTGTGTGAAAAAGTGATTGCCCCCTACAACGTAATAACTGGTTGGGCCACCCTTAGCAGCAACAACTGCAATCAAGCGTTTGTGATAACTTGCAATGAGTCTTTTACAGCGCTGTGGAGGAATTTTGGCCCACTCATCTTTGCAGAATTGTTGTAATTCAGCCACATTGGAGGGTTTTCGAGCATGAACTGCCTTTTTAAGGTCATGCCACAGCATCTCTATAGGATTCAGGTCAGGACTTTGACTAGGCCACTCCAAAGTCTTCATTTTGTTTTTCTTCAGCCATTCAGAGGTGGACTTGCTGGTGTGTTTTGGATCATTGTCCTGCTGCAGAACCCAAGTTCGCTTCAGCTTGATGTCACAAACAGATGGCCGGACATTCTCCTTCAGGATCTTTTGGTAGACAGCAGAATTCATGGTTCCATTTATCACAGCAAGTCTTCCAGGTCCTGAAGCAGCAAAACAGGCCCAGACCATCACACTACCACCACCATAGTTTACTGTTGGTATGATGTTCTTTTTCTGAAATGCAGTGTTACTTTTATGCCAGATGTAATGGGACACACACCTTCCAAAAAGTTCAACTTTTGTCTCGTCAGTACACAGAGTATTTTCCCAAAGGTCTTGGGGATCATGAAGATGTTTTCTTGGAACTCTGCCATGCAGGCAATTTTTGCCCAGTCTCTTTCTTATGGTGGAGTCATGAACACTGACCTTAACTGAGGCAAGTGAGGCCTGCAGCTCTTTGGATGTTGTTGTGGGGTCTTTTGTGACCTCTTAGATGAGTCGTCACTGCGCTCTTGGGGTAATTTTGGTCGGCCGGCCACTCCTGGGTAGGTTCACCACTGTTCCATGTTTCCCAAAGCTTTAGAAATGGCTTTATAACCTTTTCCAGACTGATGGATCTCAATTACTTTCTTTCTCATTTGTTCCTGAACTTCTTTGGATCTCGGCATGATGTCTAGCTTTTGAGGATCTTTTGGTCTACTTCACTTTGTCAGGCAGGTCCTATTTAAGTGATTCCTTGATTGAGAACAGGTGTGGCAGTAATCAGGCCTGGGTGTGGCTAGAGGAATTGAACTCAGGTGTGATAAACCACAGTTGAGTTGTGTTATAACAGGGGGGGCAAACACTTTTTCACACAGGGCCATGTAGGTTTGGGTTTACCCTTAATAATAACAACCTTCATTTCAAAACTGCATTTTGTGTTTACTTGTGTTATCTTTGACTGATATTTAAATTTGTTTGATGGTCTGAAACATTTAAGTGTGACAAACATGCAAACAAATAACAAATCAGGAAGGGGGCAAACACTTTTTCACACCACTGTATATCACTGTCGCAAGGCACATGAACTAACAGGTTATAGAGCAAACAACGCAATTATCACAACACATATGTTGTAATATGGCTTTTTATTCTGGCTTGGCTTCCCCAATGATTTGACCCACACACCTCTACTGACCCTTACACCCATCCATACATCGACATACTCTTCCATTCTCATTCATTCACTAACAACCTATACCCTATGCATCAACACACCCATTCTCTCCCGCACTCCTACACATATTCATATTCACCCTCCCTTACACACCCATTTATACAGTACAAAACGCACACAGACACGGAACAGTTATTGACATACATGCTACATTTCCCCCTTTGAATTAGAGAGTGCTAGCACATGCACTCTACACACATGTACATTGTAATATTGTTTTATGGTGGTACTATACATTTTGTATTGTAAATATGTAGTGGTGTAGGGCATGATATCCTAGGATGAATGCGGCATGCTCTCTTCTGAATTCGCTCCTGGACATTAGACTGAGCCTGGGTCAGTGAGCTTTGCCAAACAGGAGCGTCATATTCCAGGGTGGGACGTGTGTAGCCGGTGTAAATGCTCACCAGGTCTTCTTATCCCACATGGAACCTTTTCAGTTGGTTAAGGATAAACAAAGTATCAACT